AAGTAGGAGTTGACCAGCTAACTTTGGTTTTTGTTCCGTTTTTTTCGTTTCAATCCGCCTCTTGAAATCATTTTTTAATACTTCAAAGATCCTCAATCTAAGATTTTCTATTGATAGTTACGTGTAAATCAAATAAATACAAGCGACGTGTACAAAATATGCCATTCCTTCAATGCGGTTATCCGAGCAATATTACAAGGAAACGACACAAAGATAGATTTAGATTTATGATACTTACGGCCAGCTGATTGGCGAAGGTAAAACATGAAAGAAAAGGAAAAGTTTCCTCAATTGGTATATTAGTATCATTACAATACCGTTAAGCTCTATGAAATTTTGGTTATGGCGCACTGGCGACAAAAGTTTACGTATAAAAGAAAAATTTATTGACAAGCTCTACATTAGCCATTTAACATCCCCTGTGTTGCGACCGTTCGCGTTTTCGCCTTTTCGCCGTCAATTAATACAGTCAATTAAGGCAATGCCGATGGGTACATGACTATATTTGTACTTAGGGCACTGGCCACCTGCTTAGGGACTTGCCAAGTGCTTAGGGACTTGTCATCCAGTTGTCCCAGGTTGTAGTTCTCCACTCTGCTACTCACTGGATTTGTTTTCAGTTGCACTGAGTTCCACTCGTTGGCTTTGCTCTGTTTAAAGCCAATTTGGCTGCCTTTTACTAGTTGCGGTTCTTAAAAACTGTGTTGACGTTTATTTACTATGTTTATTTCCAATGTTTGAATTAATCATTTCTAAAATTTGTAAGCAAATTCAGAATAGAGAAATAATTTACATCATACGAACTGTTAATAGTCTTAATTATTATTGTAATTATTAATTATTGTTATTATCATCAGAGGTTTAGGTATTTATAAGCGGGTCAATACATGCAATAATTTTAGTTTAGTGGGTGACCTTTATTGTAAGATGTTTTTGACACGTTCTTGACCCCAAGCAGTGATTTTTTTGTCAGATTACTTATGTCAAACTGCTGTTGGAGCTCTCGTTTTTGGGAGTCAAAGGGTCAACTGTAATCTTGAGGGCTAGAACTTCCCGATCAGTGCGCTAATTGATCACAAGTGTACACTTTTTGCACTTCTTGTCCTATACATAATTCTTGATATCTACTTCCTTTTTAAATTCTCAAAGTCGTGTATGGAATGTTTTCGTGTTTGGAATAAAAAGCAAACTGCAAATAGCAACGCTGTGATCCTTTTTTTTTTAGCTCCTTGGATCTGACAGGCCCTCTTCTTCTTGGTGGGCTTATGCAGCTACCAATTAAATTCCCAGTCCTCTACAAACATTTTACTGGCTGCATCAGAAATGTTTACATCAAGTTCTTGGACCTCAGTCAGCCATTGTACAACAACGGAATCAGTGCTAAATGTAAAGCAATGGGCAACATGTGCGCATATAAACCTTGCGAGGGAGGCACGTGTTTTAACATACTTAGTTCTCGTGGCTGCCCCACTGGGTTTGATGGAAGTCGCTGTGAAACAGGTATTGAATTTTTATCTACGGATATGTTAGTGAACATTCCTCTCGCACTTACTTTAGTTTGAAGCGTTCGGAAAAGTGCGGAATCTTTTGGAATCTTTTCAAATGCTTGGTATCTAAGATGCAGACAACAGTTCATGAGTTGTGCATGATAAAAGACACCTTATGAGCATTTAAATGTATGCGAAGATCTGCCGGTTTCAAAAACCCTGTGAACAATCCTCAGAGTTGAAAGATTCCCTTCCTTAACGTTAGGGCCGAGTTCCTCAAATACTGTCTTCTGTTGTGTCAGCAATTTCTGTTTCTTAACCCTTTCACTGCCAAGATATCATTGGTAATTCTCCTTACTGTCTGTCATACAATTTTTATGATGTTAGTTCTGAGAATTTAGTATTGGATCAATTAATAATTCTCTAATTGATACTTTTCTTTATTCTCGTCGCTTGTCCGCTTGTCTACAATTCTTACAATGTTTGTTCAGAGAATTCAGTATTGGATCAACAAATTATCCCCAAATTGATGTTTTTCTTTATTCTCATCATTTACCTGGTTGATATTGTATTAATATTGTAGGGAGAAATACTGTCTTGGTCACTCATGGGAGTTTAAGGGCTAAATTGGAGAGAAATTATCCATGCCTCAAGTTCGCGTTGATTTTCTGGGAGTCGCGTTACCCTAAAATACCCCAACTAAGGAGAACGTCAATTTCTTATCACGGGTTCCTCTATGGAAACCATTCATACAAACTTCCTTGTTCAACAGGTGTGAAATACACTGAGAGATTCTCAGGACAGAGTTTTAAGAGGATACCTGCCAATTCAAAGGTCAATCTTCCGTGGAGTGTTTCAATGAGATTCTACACAGCCAAGCCTTCAGGAACTCTGCTTGAAACCTCTTTTCCGTCATCATCTTCGGTGTTGGAGGTAAGTTATGTAAATCAAGGTACATGTTTTAAAAGTCATTGAACGTTCTTATACTTACGTGAACTTCGATGCTATTTCAGTTCGTTGATGGTAAACTGTAATACAACCTCAAAGGGCTGTTGGTTTTCCAATTGCCTCACATAGCGGTGAATGATACCCAGTGGCATCACATTGAGATCCCCTGGACAGATTCTTCCCTTAACATAACAATGGACTACATCTACAAAGTTTCTGCAGATGCATACAGAGGAAAAGACCTTGGAGTTGTCAGACAGTTTTTCATGGGAGCGAGGAAGAATTCTACCAAGTCTGCAGTGTATGGTGGATGTAGAGGCTGTATACAAGGTATGCTTTTCTAACAAATTCCTCTAGTTAAACTGTTAGGTTTATGTTTCTGTAGCCTGCTCCAGGTATTAGATTGGTAGCAATGCACTGATTGATTTTCCGAAGCTTGGAGGAAAAGATAGTTGTTAATGAGTATAGGTAATAACATGATTTCGAGTGCAATTTGGTGTTAATACGCTCGAGTAAATTTTCGGGCAAGTGAAGTTTGTAGTCTTTGAAAAATTTATAATTGCTCATTACACCAAATTGCAAGATAAATCACGTTATTACTTGTTAATAATTTACATGGAAAAACATCACAGAAAGGCAAGACAGACTAAACGTTAGGTTTGGAGTGATAGTGTGAGTGCGTATGTGCGTGCGCACGTGCATGTGCGTGCGCACGTGCGTGTACGTGTGTGAGCAGGTGCGTACAAGCGTGTGCGTGCATGTGTGTTCGTACGTGCTTATTTTTGTAGTAAGGGTTGGAACTGTGCTATTGGAGTGAGCATGGTAATAGTGGATGTATGAATATTAGGCCATTTCCGACTTCTTAAAGGCTTCCTTTTTCGTGAAAATAGTTTCGTTTGCAAAATAATTTCTTTTCCTATGAGAAGTATTGTATCTGGGCTCGTTTTAAAACAGAGGCTTTGGGCCTCTCGGAAATGGTCCAACTCGGTTACCCGTTTATACGAGGAAACACTAACCTCTCTCTCTCCATATCCGTTGGGGTTTTGCCGGTAGTACCGTGATCAACATGAACTCTGGAGTCAATCACAGAACAGCATCTGGTTGTGAAGAGAAAATGGGAAGCCACTGCTCATCGAACCCTTGTCCAGACTAAAGCACGTGCTAAGAGGAATTCGACTCCTACAAATGCATATGTCCCGTAGGTTACGTTGGTAAACACTGCGTGCGCGTATGTTCTCTTAAGCCGTGCCGACATGGCAAATGTGAAAGTTTAAACCATGGAAAGGGATTCCGATGTGTTTGTCCTCAACAGCACACTGGACTGGATTCAGTTTTTATCTTATTTTTTTCATTTAAAGTTATTACCCATTGGGCACATTTCTTTGCAATTTGTGGGTACCATTTTAATGCAAACAAAGTTGTTATAAATAAAATAAATAAGTAAATAAATAGAAAATGATACATGGGCACGCGTAGATATGGAATTTCCCTTCGAGTGTTTAACTCGATAGCTCACGAGTGAGATGTTGAGTTGAATACGAGCGAACTGGTACTGGTGATTGGGTCGAACTCCCACAGGTGAATAGGTGCGAACTTGCAGTGGGGCGAATTCCCCAGTTACCGATATGCAACGCAAATCTCTCTATGTTGAAGTTAAGATCCACTTAAATTTCAAGTTTGAATGTTTTGTATAATTTCTTAGCGGATTTTAACAATTTTCAAGATTGTTTTAACATTTTTTTGCAATGATTATTATAATGTTGTGAGTGACAGCTCTTTCAGAGAACTAAATATTTTTTTTTTTAAATTTTGTTTAAGGTGTGGAAGACAACATAGGAGTTCGCTTCATGATCATCAGGAATATCGGAGAGTCATTACCCGAGTCGTTTGACGCGAAGATTCGGTATGTTACATGCACTAAATGCATCGAAAGTACGTTTGGATATAATTTTTCAACAATTTTGGTTTTTCCCCCAGTCCCTGCATTTTAGCGAAGTCTGTCGCACGAGTCAAAAGAGATTGTGAAAAGAAAATTTGATGCGTTGAATTTTGGGTGTGAAGGGCGATAACGTCATTTTTTTCTCCCACTGAATTTATTTTAATCGTGCGACGGACTGCACCTAGAAGAAGGGACTGCTGGTAGTGTATATTGTGGTTTGATTGAGAAATGGAATATGTCCCAGAAATAATTAAAAGCGGTTGACGATTTGCTGTAACTGCTTTTGCTTGTCTTTTCTTTATTTTTGATAAAACTCGTATATTAATTTATTTTAAGCGATCCACGTTGTAGTTTGTGAGTGTGATAAGCATAAATGATTTCCAAGTTTGACATCTGCAGTTCCTGTTAACCCTTTAACTCCCACGAGTGACGAGGGTAGAATTTTTCCTTACAGTATCAATACAATATCAAGCAGACAAGTGATGAGAATAAAGAAAAATATCAATTAAACGCGTCCCTAGCATCCCAATGTGCTTTTCGACTAAAACAACCTAGGTAGTAACGCCCGGCAAGGTTAAACTTTGCATATAAAAAAGATTCTTAATTCATGCTTACGTCAAGTAGCATTGAGGGAGTATTACGATATTCTACATGGTAGTCTGTGGTGAGTCTACCGCAAAAATTCCACTACAGACATACAATGAAAACAGTTATTCACGAACTATAAGACGCGTTGTGATTGCTAAGCCTGCCTATTGTTTTTCGTTACCATAGAGACACGCGTGGTGGTGGTTGGTCACGTTACGGGTGTAAATCAGTGAAGTCCAATTGAACTCACACAGTTTGCTCTTGCACTCACCTAACGGCTTTTGCAGTCCTGTCAGACTTAAATCTTCAGGTGAGGTTGATGATTGTGAAGCTGTTACGACAAAAAAAAACAGCAACAACTTTACCACCTTGTTTTCAGAAGGCATGCATTTCCAATTACGATGGTTACCATAACAGCTAAATATCTAATCTGGTCGAGTGCCATGATATATATTTAGAATTGAGTTGTTGGTAGTAGAGTGTAAATAAGAAAGGAAAGAGAAAGAGCTGCAAGATAAAGATATATAGCCCTTTAACTCCCACACGTGATTAACAAGTAACTTCTCCCTATAATATCCATATATTATCCTGCAAACAGGTAACGAGAATACCTAGACTTATCATGGAGTAGTTGTTATCTTGATCTAATACCAAATTCTCGTAACTTTTTTAGAAGAAAAACGTATCAGTCAGAGGGGAGAATAAACAATTAGATCCTGGGAGTCAAAGGGTCAACTTAAAGATAAAGAAATGAAAATGAATTAATAAGTACCGGGTAGAAAGCTTTGAAGGATATGATTTTCGTATGGATCATTAGTTAACCCTCTAACTCCCATATTAAATTTGTAATTCTCCTTACTGTCAACCATACAATTCTTATAAGTTTAGTTCAGAGAATTTAGTATTGGATCAACTTATTACTTATCTGGTTGATATTGTATTGATATTGTATTGATATTGTATTGATATTGTAAGGAGAAATTCTGTCTTGGTCACTCATGGGAGTTAAAGGGTTAATTTATTTTGAGGTCTGTATGAGGTTTAATCTCCGTTTTTCCTTTAGAGGAGGTTGTTTTCAGTTTCCAAACTATTGCAGCAGGAAAGTGAATGTAAAATTGTCAATAATTAGTTAGAACAAAATTATTATAACTGGCAGATCTATCAGAGCCTAAATCTAGTTTTATTGAGAATACACTTTGGAAAACAATGATCCAAATGATCTAAATAATTCAAATGATCCAGGGGGGAGATTGAAATGAAATAAGTTCATAAATTGAGAATCGTGAAGGAAAACTAAGTCAACTTGTTTAAGTTGTTGTTGTTGTTGTTGTTGATGTCTTTTTGAGAGAGGAGGCGTGTTGCTGCAGTGTCGCAAATAGTTTTCTCTTTTTTTCGATTTTTTACTAGTATCCCGAGCAAGCAGCCTTTGCGATGCGTTTTGTGACGTACATTGGTATATCGGTGTCCCTTGTTCTGTTACTGACAGCTTTTATATTATTCTTGTGTCTAAGGTAATTTTTTTTGGATTTTCGTCATTTTACTGACCTAACCTTCTCACAATTGTGGTAAATATTCCATGTCGTTATATCATGATCTCTTCTCCCATGGGCACTTCTAATACAAAATTGAACAATACAATATTGAGCCTACGCACTTCTTGTAAGCGTAGATAGCGGAGCTCTTGGTGTTGTGGTGTCTTGTTGTTTTCCAAAAATTCTTAAATTGGGGACACCTGCAAAATTCTACAAAATGTTGTAGAGCATATTCTTATATAGGATACGTGGTATAAATGCATGATTATCAGTAACATCACCGTTTCGTCTTTACAGCAATCATAAGAGCAATTCGAGAACAATTCATAAGAACCTTATTGTAGCGGTCTTCGTTGCTGAGCTGACGTTCCTCTTGGGAATCAACAGAACGGCAGATCAGATTGGGTTAAATACAAGGCCAACTTATGTTTACAGTAGGGTAATTTAGTATTATCAACTGAGTTCATAAAGTAAATTGGCCACCGTAAAGAGTTTCAAAGCTACCTTTGAAAAGTGACAGCGTTCACACAATGGATGCTTTTACGCACGTAAACGTTTACTTCAACTATGGCAATTTATTTTTTAAATATATACTTTAAAATATATTACTTTGGCTTCTGATCTTAAGACGTTGCTTTCATTTTTGTTCATTGAATAGATTGTGTCAGTTGATCGCCATAGTGTGGCATTATTTCTTCAACGCCTCTTTCTCGTGGATGTTCGTCGAAGGTCTGCACATGTATCGCAGGCTCGGAGAAAAGAGGAATATAGACACTGGCAAAATGTCCTTCTATTTCTTTATGGGGTGGGGTAAGTGGTACGAATGTTGTCTAACAGGGAGTGTATGGTATCAACCCTTTGAAGTGATTAACAATTAAACTCTCCCTCCAATATCCATACATTATCCAGCAAACAGGTAGTGAGAATACCTGAATTATCAGGTAGAAATTGTTATCTGTAACCAGGCATTTTTCCGGAAAAAAGGGGGGGTGGGGGGTGGGGAGAGGGGAAACGGAGAGGAATGACTGGTACAAGAAACCTATCAAAGTCACTGTTTTATAATATTCACTCGCCATCATATATTGGAAGATAATTTTGCGCAATTAATGCTTTCAAATAGTACTAATAAAAAACTATTTGAAGCATAAAACACGGATTTCAGTGCAACGAGTGTTAAGGTTTTAACGAACTAACATCATTAGAATTGTCTTACTAATGAGAAGGGTTAATGTCAATCGTCCACTTTTCACCCGTTCTTCCTCATCTTGTTTTCCCATCCTCCTCTCCACTTATAATTTCGTTGCAGATACTGTGTTGATGAACGGTGGGCCCGTTTTATTTATATTTCGTTTTGTGACTTAGTGTTTGCCTCAGTGGCATTCTTTTGCGCAGTTGACATGCATGTTGCTGTGGCAAACAAAACAAACAACTACATAGAGATGACGGTCTGAAATTGTTCATATTTATACACAAATTTTGTATTTGTGGAATGGTGCGGTATTTGTATACCTTTACATTGATTGATTTAGTATGTCGTGTTGTTCATTGATTTTCTTTTTATCATCTTAGCTCAACACACTCGTCTTTATCATGGCGTTGTTCACTTCACTTCAAAAACAATCAAGAAAGAGACGTCGCCGGCATCACCACCATCACCACGACGACGAACAATTTAACTTGACGTAAGATAGCGTACCAATCGTTTCTTACTAAAGCCTGGTTTTCACGAGCGACGCGAGCACAAACACAAGCATAACAGCTCAAAGAGAAGCAGGCAAGAATCAAGCGCAAGGATCAAAATTTGTCCTTTTTCTTGTGCTACTCTTTGTGCTCGTCGACGTTCGTTTTCAATTGGCATACTTACCTTATGCTTGCGTTTGTGCTTGCGCTTGTGTTTGCGTCGCTGGGGAAAACCAGGCTTAAGCGTAAAAGACTATTTAACAACTTTTCACCGAAGTAGAGGTGGCTCGTGGTGGATATTTACCGAACCGTGAAGCGGCGAGATTAAATATCAACTGCTAACTTCCTCCACTGAGATGAATAGTGAACTACCACGCCATAGGTAAAGGAAGACATTAGATTTATGCAGACCATGTATTGAAAACCGCTTCCCTTAACTGACCAATCTCCAACTGCTCAGTAACTGAGAAATGTTTTAATACCTGAAAATGATAAAATGAAATTTACCGAATCCCTCCCATAAGGTTCTGGAGTATTCTAGAAATGATCCGCTTTTTGTCGTCACAGTGCCGGATTACGAGCCACAGCCGGTCTTCTTCCCTTGATAGGAGTATCTTTCGCGTTCGCCATTTTGATGGTGAATAAAGATTTGGAAACCTTTCACTTTCTTTGCACGTTCTGCCTGGTCCAATCACTTAAAGTGCCCTGTTCTTCATAGAGTGGTTTTTAATTTTAATGTGGAAAGGCAATGGAGGATTTCTCTCATTCAGTTGTTTTTTGCAACTAAAACCGGGATTGCATTGCTTCTACGCCATCAGAGCATTAGCAAAATTTTAGTCCTAATTCACTCTTATTTCACGCAAAAAAAATTGATCGCTTCTCAAAAACTCGGTTGAAGAGCTTATTGAAAAAAAACAGATTAAGGAGGCGTAGAGACCAAAATTTAATTCAGTACCTGAACAAATGTAATCGACAAGAAGGAAAATGCACGTTTCCTTTTTATTTTCATTTTCAACTCTCAAAAGATGTGAGGACTCGTCTCGAAATTAATAAATGCAGAATACCTTGAATTTTCTGTGTTTTAATTCTTCGGTCGATGAAAGTCGATCGATCAGCGACAAATTTTTTATGAGCTTGTCTCGTTCACAGGGCCTGTTTATACTAGTGTTTTATCTCCTATTGGACAAGACGGTGAGTAACATATCTTTCTCTTTTTTTTTTCCACGATTTCAATTTGATTTCATGGAGGCGGAATATTTGATTCACTTTCCCACTCTTGCTTTATTATTTAAAAAACCTTCAGGTTCGGAAAGAGTTCAAGAATGTGTACATGCGCTGGAAGACTAAGGACAAGACATACGGGATACAGAAACCCACGCAGCATTTTGTAAGAGGAATATTCACCCTCTTTACGTCTCTGTGCTTAACTCGTCCTCTTTCCTTAAATGAGACATTCTTTATTCATTGATTTGTCCTCTCTATTTTTCTGTTTTTCACTTGCTCTTCTCCGCTTTTTGCCTCCTTTTTCATGGTCTGCTGTATTTTCACTCCTTCTCATTTTTCAGCCATTCTTTCATCCGACCTAACCTCTCCCCTGTTAGGTATACAGTATTTCTTTGAAGAAGCGCCCTCCGCCGAATAAGTGCCCACCCTCAGGCGCCCCCTCAAACCCCCACCCCGTCTCTTCCCTCATTTCCTCAGCTGGAAGGGACACAAAGAAAACCGCTTTCTTTTGCCACTTTATCTATAACTTTTCAAGCTTCAACTGCAGCGGAATCAGAACAGGAGATCAACAAGCGCCCCCTTCGATTAAGGGCCATCCTTCCAATAAGCGCATTCCCCCCGCCCCTCCTTTGGCCGATATTTTAAATAACCGCTTGTTTGAGGAAATACTGTTTGGCAATTTTTCACTGTTTCATCTCCATTCTGAGTACCACAATGTTATCCTTCTCCCGCTTGTCACGTTGGTTCAAAGTTCATTGTCACTTGCCAACAAATAAAACAAGTAGGTTTCGTTTCACCCTTTAACTCCCAAACTTGATCAACATGTAACTTCTCCCTGAGGTTCCAGTTTATTATCTTGTAAATACGTTTTGAGAGCAGACAGTCTTATCAGCCGGAGAGTATCATTCTGAAGTAACACCAAACTCTTCCCTCTAATTTTCAAGGAAATGCATCGTGGTAAGAGGAGAGAATTTCCAATTGGATCTTGAGGGTGAAAGGGTGAACTAACCTTTTTCTTTTCCCCCTTCTTCTTTCCCACTTTTCAATTCATGCACTCTCCCTCCCCTCCCTGTTCGTATTCACAAGACTATTCCATTTTCTCTCATTCCAGTCTCTCTCACCCAACCGATTGATTTCTTTTTTCTTTCTTCACCTGTTTAACGAAAAGTTCTGTTTCCGTTTTTTTCCTTAGAAACGCTCCTATCACCCAGGGGAGACGGCACCTCTCTGATCCCCGTATGATTTTGACGACGATGGAAACTTCATTAGCATATCTACCACGGAGCCATCCAGCAGCGGTTCCGTAGCAGTGTAACGAGTCGGTTCACCACAGACAACAGTATCACTGATACTATAGGAGATGAAGATACCAGTGCACCAGGTGTGTGTTTGAAATGGAATTTCTCTCAAATATGCTCTATAAATTGTGCTCAGTCCAAGTAGTAAGAACGTGGTTTTAAATAAATTACAGTGATTTCTAGTCGGCTTCTATACCCTAGAGACCGAAGAAAAGTGCCCCCGCTAAATCCCCTTTTTTTTTCTTCAATGAAGACCAGATTTGTGCCCTACGAAGCCAAGTTTTCCTTAATTACAGTCGTCCTACAAGAAATGTTCCTTTGCAATTCAATTCGGTGGGGAGAAAAGAAGAATCACCTAGAAAGTAAAGACAAGACTTAAAACACAAAAGCAATCAGAAGCAATCTCAACCAACAATCATACATGGAGCCAGGCTAACTGGTTTAGGGCGGAAGGGGCTGGGCATTGATTGCTGTATAGTGGAATTTATAATTGCTTTTTTTCAAGGAACCAACTCCTCTGAACCATTTTAGGAATGACTTATGGCTTGCAGAAACTGTACATTCTGTTTGTTTGTTTGTTTGTTTGTTTGTTTGTGTCCTGATAATCCTGAACTCGGTAAGTCGTTTACAATGCGTAAACTCAAACATTTCTATGTTTTAACTCCTTTGTAGTCAATATTTTGATGGTCACGAAACGAAGAGGAAAATAAGGGGTGATATTACTTCGTCACGCAATATTATTGTGCAGCGAAACATCTGTAACACATCTTTGGTACAGTCAGTTAAAGGCTAACAGTCTTGTGAGTATATATAGAGTGGGTAGCATTATAGGCGCACTCTGATTGGCTACTCAAACTCCAAATATCCCTTGCTAATCACCTCCGAGCAACGCGCGCGCGATTTGCGCCCGGAAAGATGGTAATCGTTGCAGGAAGAAATGCGTTCGGGTTTTTACCTAATTAATTATGCAAAAAATACAGTAAAATTGACCAACTTTAATGTGCTAGTGCTGAAGGAAGATTTTTCGTAAGAAATCGGTGGTGTTTTTACTTCAAAATATAATTCATTTGATTTTTATTTGTGGCACTTTTAGGAGCTTTGGTGTAATTTTAAAATTTACATGATTTTTTAACAAAGTACTCTCAAACGCTTGTTGCAAAAAGCGAAAAATAAAGCAACTTCAAGCCTTCAAAACGCGTCTTGGTATATAAGAAATCATGTCAAATTACATGCGGGCACAAAGTTTGGTCCTTATACGAAAATAATATGAAATAAAAAATTTGGGTGATTCAGAAAAGTGCCGGCAAAATAAAAGAGTTTGCGACGCACTGTGGCCAAGATCAGGACGCAAACAACACTTTCACCTTTACCGGTAACCCTTTAACTCCCAAGATCTCATTAATAATTCTTCTTACTGTCTGCCATATTGTTCTTTAGAAGTTAGTTTGGGGAATTTGGTAATGGATCAAGTAATAATCCCTAATTAAGATTTTTCTTATTCTCATTACTTGTCTGCTTGATATTGTATTGATATTGTATTGATATTGTATTGATATTGTAAGGAGAAATTCTGTCTTGGTCACTCATGGGAGTTAAAGGGTTAACCCCCTGTTACTATCCAGTATCCCAAGTGATCTTGTGTTGTACTTTCATGATCTCAGAGTTAGTCTTCACTTTATATTGAAAAAATTTAATACATACAAGGATAAGTAACCCTTTTTCGAAATGTTTTTTACCCAGTAAATCATTTTTTTCTTTGTTTAGAGTGGCATTATCATTGTTGACGAATGTAAACTTGCCGTGGCAGTGAATTTTGGGACCAAAGCAGCCTCCTTCTCATGTGCCGCAGCACGGCAGCTTCAAATTAAAGATGAATCTGAAAATTACAGGTACATTTTTATGTAAATGCACACCATCAGGAAAGACCCTTGGAGTAGGCAGAGTGGCTGAGTACTTAGGGCACTGGCCACCTGCTTAGGGACTTGCCAAGTGCTTAGGGACTTGTCATCCGGTTGTCCCAGGTTGTAGTTCTCCACTCTGCTACTCACTGGATTTGTTTTCAGTTGCACTGTGTTCCACTCGTTGGCTTTGCTCTGTTTAAAGCCAATTTGTCTGCCTTTTACTAGTTGCGGTTCTTAAAAACTGTGTTGACGTTTATTTACTATGTTTATTTCCAATTTGTTTGAATTAATTATTTCTAAAATTTGTAAGCAAATTGAGAATAAAGAAATATATCATACGAACTGTTAATAGTGTTATTATTATTGTTATAATTAATTGTTATTATTATTGTTATTATTAATTATCATCATCATCATCATCATCAGAGCTTTAGGTATTTATAAACGGGTCAATATATGCAATAATTTTAGTATAGTGGGTGACCTTTATTGTAAGAAGTTTTTGACATGTTCTTGACCCCAAGCAGTGATTTTTTTGTCAGATTACTTATGTCAAACTGCAGTTGGAGCTCTCATTTCTGGGAGTCAAAGGGTCAACTGTAATCTTGAGGGCTAGAACTTCCTGATCAGTGCGCTTTGATCACAAGTGTACACTTTTTGCAGTACTTGACCTATACATAATTCTAGATTTCTACTTACTCTTTAAATTCACAAAATCGTTTATGGAATGGGTTTTTTGTTTTGTTTTGTGTTTTTTTTTTTGCTCCTTGCATTTGACAGGCCCTCTTCTTCTCGGTGGGCTCGTGCAGCTACCAATTAAATTCCCAGTCCTCTACAAACATTTTACTGGCTGCATCAGAAATGTTTACATCAATCACGAGTTCTTGGACCTCAGTCAGCCATTGTACAACAACGACGGAACCAGTGCTAAATGTAAAGCAATGGGCAACACGTGCGCATATAAACCTTGCGGGCGAGGCACGTGTTTTAACATACTTGGTTCTCACCGGTGTGACTGTCCCACTGGGTTTGATGGAAGTCGCGGTGAAACAGGTATTGAATTTTTTTTTTACGGATATGTAATGTTCTTCGCACTTACTATAGTTTGAAGCGTTCGGAAGAGTACGGAATCTTTTGAAATCTTTTCAAATGCTTAGTATCTAAGATGCAGACAACAGTTCATGAGTTGTG